AAACAACATAGAAAACACTTAAGATCTTTCATACATAATAATAATTTTTTACAACATAACAATTTCAAGTAAACACTGAAATCTAAAATATTTTGTTTTATTTTGTTTGTATTAAAAGGGGAAGGAAACACATTTCTTAAATGTTTAGACGATTTTTTGTTTAATAATTCGTATTTACCCATTTTTACGTATTGTTTCCAATTGTTCCAAAGTTAATTTCTTCGGTTTTCCATATTTATCCTTTTGCAAGCTTTACAGAAATATTTCAATATTGCACAAGATATTGGAGATCTTATTGTTTTTATAAATATTGAGTATAGAGAAGTGTTCAATTTTAAATACAAAATTAACGAAATAACGAAAAATATTATAATGTGAATAATTATATTAATAATAATAATGATAATAATAAAAGTAATAGTAGAGTAGCGTTAAGAAGTAAACTAAAAGTTATTCAATAATTCCAAACTATTATTTAAGTTTTTAGCAAATGACTGGTGTTAAGTGTTTCTTCCAAATTCAAATGCAAGTACCAAAGATGCCGTGTTTACACTAATATTAATTTTTAATTATTATTTGTAATTAATCAACCTAATTTTTGCGTACTTTGCTGTTCATTTGAATGAAAGCAAAAACCTTAAAGCGTAAATTAAACTTAATGAAATTCTTAAGCAGCAGTTTGAGCATAAATAAAAAAATATAAAAATAATAGAAAATTTTTTATTAAAAACGGAAATTTTTTAATCGATAAACTTACCCATTCTCACGCAACGATTTTAGCTGTGAGTTGGTTAAACGACGTGGTTCGCCATTACCATCGGATGCAACAGCATCGAGCTCATCAAAGGGTGGCGCTATAAATAGGTCGCGCAAATTTATGGGACGCGTCTTGCGGCTGCTAACGCTATTCGTTGCATTGCTAGCAGTTAAGGCGAGCGTTGTGGCTGACAATGGCTGTGGAAGCACTATAAAAAATAATAAAAAAAATTGTATTAAAAACTTAATTGAGAATACCGTATGTTGGGTATGGACTTACCAATTGGAAAAGTTTTCCAATGATAGAGAAATTGTTCTGCTACAGTTTTGATCTGTTCCACAAGCTGCTCGACTTCTGGTGGTGCGCCGACTAAATTGACGGTAAAATGTACAGGTTCGCGTTCCGGTCCGATTAATGATTGTGGACGCAAATGAGTACCAGACGCACTTGTCGACAGTGGAAGCATAGTAGACATCTTTAGAAACTTCTATATATGCTGTTCGTTGCCAAGTTGAATATGACAACGAACGAAGCGTAGTCAACAGGAACGCACTGTTGACTGTCGGTTAACAATCAATTTATTTCGTGAGCGAAAATTTTATCCAAGTTTTTGTTGCTGCTCGTTCACATTTTTAGGCCTCTTGTAATTACGAAATATCGACTAATGAGATTGTGATGAGATTCGTATAATGATAGCCTTGGGTAATGAAACCGGTTGATTCGTTGTGCTTTAATTTTTCTATAAATTCAGAGAAGAGCAGGAAATATAATTACTGCGTCAAATTTTCAGTTTTTTATATTTTGTAATGATTTTTAAAAAATAATTGTTTATAGAATTTTTTGTAAATATTTCAAAGTTGCTAAATGTAAACAAAATTGTAGGAGATGAGATCAAAATTTAAACTAAAACTAATAATAGCGAACAGGCAAATTTACTTCTTACTTGAGTACATAAAGTTTCAAATTTTTCAATTAAATTTTTAATGTATTGTTTTTCTTATTTTTTGTATACATACTCGTACAATCGCACAATAAATAACCTAAATCCTTCATGAGTTTGAAATGAAAATATTATAAATAGCGCAATTCTGCAAACTGAAAGCACATTTCAAATTAACATAATATATGCATGAATTTCAGATCATTAAAAATTAAAATCTTCGGAGAGTTGAAGGGACGAGATCAGAACAAAGATTTTATAAAACTCTTGAGAGTGTGGTTAGTATGGTTATAAGTCCAAAATAGAGAACAGAGTATCTGTTAATAAAGATCTGTTAAGTAGATAGCTAATACGAGAAGACGAAAATTGTTTATCCAGGTTTGAAATTGTTTTATAAATTAGTGATAAGTACACTAAATAAGTTTTAAAAATATATTGTAATTAAATTTATATAAAATCGAAAAAAAAATATGTCTATAGTAATTAATATTAAATATAAAGAATATATTCATTTCAATAAAATTTATTTTTCGGCTGCTTATACAGCTACTCCAAGTACTGCCAAACACCATCAGCAGTGATCTTAGAAACTTATTCTTGTTTTCTTTGGAAAAAAAAACAACAATTTTTTTATATTATAAAAAACATCCAGCACCATACAAAATGATTAGAAACTAATTTGCCAAAGTTTTGTTGTAATCGTATAAGTTCCAAAGATATTAAACTGCCGAGACGACGTCCAAATAAAATAATAATTCAAGATATGATGGCTAAAATCAATGATCTAATGATGGAAGATCGGCGAATAAGGGTCCACGAGATTTCTGATGTTATAAAATTCTCAAGTAAATGTGTTTATTATACTTTACAACAATAATTTCATATAAAAAGCTGTAAGCGGAATGGCGCCGTGATTACTAATATCATAGTGAATTACTAATCCAGCCGTGCAGATGGAACCCCCAGGAAAATGACCGTCGTGTTAGGGCGCCTGCTAGAACATAGCGAAGGACATAGCGTAATTTTGAAAGCTTAACTATTCTTCATAAAAATAAGACTACCAATTAAAATATACAACTGTCAAATTAAAGAATGTTCATTAGGGTGCCATTAATTTTCGAAAGTCGGAAAATTGCTCGCGGCACTTCCCAGATCGGTTCATTTTACTAAAAAAATAATCTGTGTGAAATTTTAGTTCAATTGGATAAGTGAAACTGGTACCCCAAGAGCCTCAAAGATTGGAAAATAACGATTTTTTCCATAAAATTCATCTTTGATTGCTTATATCTCCGACATATTTAATTTTAAATAAAAACTGTCTTCCTAAAAGTTATAGGTCTAGTAAAAATAAACAATTCACTCATACAAAGTTTTTCTGTATTTCTAATAGTTATTGAATAATGAGTTCAATGAATGAATTGTCTACTAAATTTGGTAGAAAATAAGTCCAATACTTGTATAGTTATAAGTGAGTTTCTGTATTATTCATTGGAATGCGAAGTGAATTTTATAATATTTTATCGTATTGATTAATTCAAAGTGATTACATTAAAAAGTGTTACCGAGATGTCTTCTTTAAATATTCGTTTCCTTTATAAGATTCGTAAGGATAACCAACCAAGAGATGATTATAGGGAACTTCTTGAACTTGCATTAATGTTTTTAGGAGAAAAGCCGAACTGTACAGTAAAGTTTCGACCTCCTGGAGCTATATATCATGCAAGATGGATGACGAAAGCCATGCATGTATTAAAAATATTTTTATTAAGGAAAGAGTTCAAATTATCTACAGAAGAAGAAAATGCTCTTTGCGGTATATGTATGTAGGAATGTTTATTTAATAGTATTTATTTAATCCAAAATATCAAAGTGTATATACGTTAATTAATTAATAACTAATAATAAGTAACTTCTTAAACGCGCACAACCGACTGACAACTTCAACGACTTATTACCCACTACTGCTTGTTTCTTAAAGCTTCTTCTTGTTCCTTTTTGCCGGCGTTGCCAGATTTTACCCTTCTTGCCTACATGTATATTTATTACTAAAGTGTATGTTGAAGTATGGTTTAATGCTTTGTCATCAGTCAAAGCTCATTTTCAAGATTTTAATCTTCCTTCTATTCTCAGTCAATATCAAAAAATTATATTTGATATTTAAGATCAAAGCTTGTTCATTTTGCTTTTTTGGATTTAAATATATCACCTGAGACAAAGAAAAATATGGTTTCAAATTTGAATATAGATAGTGATGACAAGGAAGTCATTAGAGTATCAACAGATAGCGCAAAAATAACTAAAATCGTCGAAAAGGGAATTGAACAGTTTGTATACAAAAATACTAAAAACATTTTTAATCGTTTCAAGTTGTGCGATGGCTTCTTGAAAATATGCACCACAAAATGGCTTGAAAGCCATTGGATTGAAAGCCATTTTGAAAGCTTTTAAGCTTGAAAGTAGTAAACGATACGACATAGCGAGGAGTGAAACTAATGCTGGACTATAATTCAATTTTAACAAAAAAGGAGAATCGAAAACAGTACATACTAAAATTGTTAACGATTACCGCCGTCGTTTTCCAAGTTGTAATAAGGATACTTTGCTCCAGCAACTTTAACTAAAATAATCAAAATTATGTCGGACAAACCTAGAATTAGTACTTTTTTATTATTAGAAAGATTAAATTTTAGATATATTGAATTTATTTTAAATTTTTTAGAAATATTAAATTTTTTGTAAAGCTGAAGCGGACAATAACATTCATAGTACTTTCAAAGCTAGCAATCGGGTGACTTCAACTTATTTTTTGTTTTATTCAATAACTATTAGAAATACAGAAAAACTTTGTATGAGTGAATTGTTTATTTTAAATAGATCTATAACTTTTAGGAAGACAGTTTTTATGTAAAATTAAATATGTCGGAGATATAAGTAATCAAAGATGAATTTTATGGAAAAAATCGTTATTTTCCAATCTTTGAGGCTCTTGGGGCACCATTTCCACTTATCCAATTGAACTAAAATTTTACACAGATTATTTTTTTAGTAAAATGAACCGATCTGGGGGGTGCCTTAATGGCACCCTAATGTTCATACATAAAATATCAACGAATATAACATATAAACGTTATTTTTTTAGAAATATCACCTAAACATATAGATTGGAGTTTAAAGGTTATAATAAAACTGAAGCTGTTTTTGATTGATAACAGAAGACCAACAAAGAAAAAACGTGGCCGCTGAAATATATTTATATGCCAATAAAATAAATGTTTAAAAATTATTAATGCAAGTGTAGTGTTATAGATTCTTAGCCAAAAGACGAGAACCTTTTACGGATCTTGAGAAAAGATAATTTATGCTGTGATGATTTCTTTTTTCCATTTAAAGAATTTAGTCCAACTCTATCGAATGTGCTTATAATTGATTATACGTAATAAAATTGGATAAATATCTGTGTTGAATATTTATAAAAAAACAACCACAGTATAAATATTAAATACATTTTATGTTAGAAAAGATTTTTCGGAAAACTTAACGTTTGATCTATGAATATTCAAAACAATTAAGAAATTAAAATTTTAATTAAAAACAATTTATCAAACAATGAAAATAAAGAAAAACTTTGGAATTTAAATTACGTCGAAGTGTAGCAAAAAATTATAATTGATGTACACTTCAAATTAACAGAACAAAAGTATTAAATATATGAGTTCATGTATGGACGTACTTGTATTTTAATAAATGTTTACGATGCAAACGCACGGCTACTGATTTAAATTTTATTAATATTTTTATGGATGATGTATTAAAAATAAAAAATTGGATTACGAAATTGAAACTGGGGACTGCATTTGTGTACGTGATTCTTGTTTGAATTCTACAATTAATGAATTATTAAATATATGTGTAATTAAATATTATTAAAGTAAATTAAATTATATTTATTTATATAAAACTATTTAATAGTTTAGAAAGTAGATGGTTTCATTTTGACACAGAATGATAGTTAAATTAAAGCTAAAGATAGTTGAAGAAGGTAATTAATGTGTTTGAATTTATATAAGTAACTTGTCAATTTATATTATATATAATACATATAGTATAATTTTTTTATATTTTGTATGGTTTTATATAATCGCCAAGTGTTGGAAAACTAAATGGATTGATTTGACTGTTCGTAACACATATAGTATGTATGCCAGTCAACAGTGATAGAAAAGGAAAATATGTTGCAGCCGATCGATTAGGAATCTATCAATTTTATAGATTGATGTTCCTTTAAATGTTCTGTAAACTTATAATGAAAAATAAAGTTCTTAATAAAATATGTTGAATCGAGGAACATATTTATACGTGAGGATCATTTGGCATATGTAATGAGACATAAATATTTCAATGAGAAGAAAAAATCTTAACACTTTGTTATAGGTTGACATTTTTATAGCATGCCTATAGAATATATATTATACACAGTAACTACTGTTGCAGCTACGGATATGAGAAACCATCAGACACCTTTTTTGTTTTTATGTCTTCAACAAGTTCACCAACGAATTGCCTCAACGTGGGTTAATAATTTGATTAGGTGAGTACTGTCTTCATGTCCCTTCACAACGGATCAACTTAACCTAAGTCTGTCGGCTTTGCTAATAAAATTTTTTCATAGCGGCTAAAAGCTTTAAGAGATCTTTCAATGTTTTTTGATTCTAGTTTCCAACCTTTTTGGGTTTAATGAGAATCATTTAAAAATATGGGATTCGTTTCATATTAGTAGAGAATATAAGCAACATTAATGA